CTCACGTGTTTGGTGATTCTTGGGTGTTCTCTCTCTCTCTCTCTCTCTCTCTCTCTCTCTCTCTCTCTCTCTCTCAGTATTGACGCGCAATTAGTTATTTTTTTTTTGTACTAATCGGCAATGGTCACCACCACCACCTGATCAATTCATATTTGATCAAAAATCGCCAATCGAATCGATCAATCAGGCTTTTTCAAATATATAATACCCGTATAAATGAATAAATTTAGCCTGCTGGCATTCTGTTTTTTTTTGAAATGCGGAAAAAATATCGACAACACAGGACATTCCAACAACAACAACAACAACAACAAAAATGTCAATAACCACAAACAAACAACAACAAACGATGTCCAGTCAATGTTTGTGTGTGTTTGTAACGGGAATCTAATTAAATTCTTATTGGGAGAGAGAGAGAGAGAGAGATTGAAAGAATGATGATCTTTTCTTAAATATAAATACCGAATGACAGTTGGTAACATTATTTCGATATTTTTTCTTTTTCTTTCTTGGTTTGATCTGACAATTGACAGTCAAAAAAGCAAGCGATTACATCATGTGCCAATTGATATTCGAAATGACCAAAACATCGTTGCTGCCTGCAACGATCGAAACTTGTCACTTTGAATGAGGAAAAGGAAAAAAAATCTTTTTAAATCGGCTTTTTTCTCTTCTTCCTCCCTCCCATCCCCCACATTAAGTCCATCATTTTTTCAAAATGTGCAAGAATGAATGATCCGGTGGGATATCGTCGACCTGGTCAGCAATTGACCAAAGGGGCCGATAAATCTAAATTTATAAGTATGGTCCACCAGCACCACCATCATAATACTTACATCATTGGATTTGCATTCATTCAATATCAAGGAAAAGGCAAAAGCAAACACAAACACAAACTGTGAAAAAAAAACTTAAGCTGTTGATAAAACTCATTTGTTGTCATTTGCAATAAAACGAATCGACATGAATGTTTTTTTTTGGGAAGGGGGGAGGTTTGAATGGTTAGTTGGTTGGTTGGCTGGTGTGTTAAAGTGTTAGGCACACATCCAATCGACCAATCTTTAATCTAGAATCGAAAATGAACATAAATTCTGTTTGCTGATGCTGTCACTGTCACTATACACATAGCAAATGATGGACACTCTGTATGTGTGTAAACACACACACACAAACATTATCAGCAATACCAGTCGATCAATTTGTCGTTCAAAATCGATTGGATCGATTGATTGATTGAAAAAATAAAGGAAGGAATATTATTTAGGTATATAATCTGGGTTATTTGGAAAATGAATGAGCAAATGACCAGTCAACATGATTCACATGTAACCCTTTTACTTTTTCTTTGAATATTTTTTGGATTGACGGACTTGACTTGACTCGTGTATCGATTCGATTATTTGAGAATAACGAGAGGAAAAAAAAGAAGCGAATGAAATGAAACGAATGAAATGAATGAATAAACGAACACAATGAAAAAACGAAGGAAAAAAAACGATACAAATCGAGCAAAACATTAGTACGAAAAACATGACAGGAAATGTTTCCATTTATGCCAGTTCGTTCGTTCGTTCGTTTGTTCCCATCACATTGTTGTTGTTGTTGTGGAATTTTTATTCGTTTCTGACATGCGCATTATCTAAAGCGCAAATCATTGACAGAATTGGAATTTTGGATCATAGCATTCGAATGTTATGTTGATTTGTTTTTTGGTTGTGGTAGAGGCACTACTAAAGGTTATTGGAGACAGTGACGATGAACGACCACGCATACAGAATCCAGAATTCGAACCCAGAACATGATTCTCAATTCTCAAAATTGGTTTTTTTTTTTTGGTTTTTTGGTTTATTTATTCATTCATTCAAATTGTATCATCGGAGCTTGGTGGTTTCTATTCATTTCACACTGAATTATCATAGACATTTGGCGCCAATCATTTCATTTCATTCTGGTGAAATTCTGGTCCCTATTGGTTTTTTTTCACTGGATCAATTTTTCATTCAATCAATTCTCTCTTTCTGTATGTGTCTTTTATGTATACATCTCTCTATGGAACATCTTCCAAAAAAAACCGGCAAAAATCCAAACACACAGTCAATTCAGTAAATCAATGATGCAGAACCATTGAATTGTTTTTGTTCTTGTTTTGTTTTAACAACGTCAACGTCAATCAACAATCATCAAATTCACCACATCATCAATTCAGGTATTCACTATATGTGTGTGATTCATCATCTTAGTCAATTCCTGGCCCATCAAACCAACCAACCAATCATCGATGACAACAATTTATCGATCGATCTTTTTGGATCGACCAAAACAAAAACAAACAAGCATTCAATATATTCATGATGGATCGAAATAACCCGTTTGTTTGCATTTTAGTTTTGTGTGTTTGTTTGTTTTTAGAGCCCGAAGCAAATGGATTTAATTAATTGTTGTGTATAGTGTGTTTGCTTGTTTGTTTGGTGTGGGTGTTTATGTTGCATTTTTTTCTTTTTGCCAACTTTAAGATGTTATCATAACATATCAAAAAGTGCAGGGAAGATACCCGCAAGCAAAACGGATGCAGCACTGTGTGTGTATGGATCATCATCATAAATTGATTGGGCGCACAATTTGTCGTTGTTGTTATTTTATTTGCCCGACAACCACCACTACATCCATCCTCCTACTACTTTTATTATTATTATTATTACCATAATTGATCCCAATCGACCATCATTTATTGACACTATGGTGTATGGTGTGTGTGTTTTGAATTGATCGAATGCATCGATTGACAGTGAAAAATTATTTAACCCAGTGGCAATCATCATCATAGATATTTTGTTCATTCATTCATTCATCATTGAAAGAACATCATTACCCAACAAAAAAAAATTGATTCGATTCGTTTTCAATGGATCGATTGATGGTGACCAAGTTGGACATCATTGATCGACAAAAAAATAAAAAAGAAGGTGGTGGTGTTGTTGATAAATGCCTCATTCAAATTAATGGTAAGTAAAGATGGTACAGGTGCCATTTATTTTCCCTTGTTACATTTTCTGATCAATCGATTTGATCAACCAAAAAAAAAAAATGAAAAAAAAGGGTAACCTAGACTACCAAACACCGTGTGTGTGTGTGTGTCATTTTTGTGTGGTCGGTTATTATCGTCAAACATTGATTGTCATTAAATTTTCAAATAAATCGATTGATGTGTAGTAACATCCATTGGTTTGTTTTTTTCTCTTTTTTTTTACTATGTTGGTTGGTTGATGGTGGTGGTTTATACAGAGCCGCCGATCAATCAATGAATCGGTTATGGGTTCCTATTGTTTTGTCTAATGTTTTTATTCTCTCTATGTTTGTTCAGTGTGTTGTATGTTATATGTGTTCTTATCAGCTTCAATGATTTCATTCAATAGAATTTCACCAACAAAAAAAAACGAACGAACAAGAATTGTGTATTCCATGTAATTCGCAGTCCACAAATAGCAAGACAGTTAAGGCAGTGTTTGCTTCAATTGGCTCTTAATCGGGAAAGCGCGGATATTTTTATCATTATTATTTTAGTTGTATTGTCTTTCTCTCTTTCCCTCTCTTTTCGCTATCCGATGACAATTAATAATTGTTTTCGATTCTGGTGATTCTGTGTTTTATGCATTTACCAAATATTCTCTGTGAAAGGGTTATTCTTTTACCCAAAAAAAATAAAAAAATAAACACTGGCCATTTATTTACACACATCATGCATTTGATGATGGTATCCATCTGGCTATCGATTGGTTACTCTCTCTCTCTATTAGTGGTGTACAGTGTTTGAAACCATAGACCAATATTGCCATTGGCTATGGCTTTTTTCTATTGATGATATGATTTGACATTCTGCATAATCATATATTGATCAGAACAACCAACTAACAAACTTTTATAAAGAATATTCTAACTTAATTAATCGTTAATTTAATTTAATTTAATTTTAATTCACTTTCTTTCTTTATTTCTTTATCGATTCATGCATTATACCAACAATAAATGATTGTTTGTTTGGTTGTTGTTGTTTTTTGTATAGGGAAATATCATTGAATGAATGATGCTTGCACAAACACACACAGTGTGTGTTTTCCGTATCAAAATGATATCCGGCCCAAACATACATACATCGAGCGCCCAATATTCTTCTCTCTATTGAATTTTGTCATTTGGCAAACAAAAATCAATTAACCAAACAAAAAAAACAAAAATGTAGGCCTTGGTTAATGGTTATAAATTAATTTTATAATTATTTTTAACTAAGCTCCCTATAGTCAGTTAGTTAGTTAGTAAAGTTAGTCAGTCAGTCAGTCATTCGGTAGATGTTTGTTTAGTCTCTCGATTAATTTGCATATTTTTTTTGCATTCAAATTCGATTCATGTCATATAAAACCACATTATATATTAATGATTGACAGTTCCAAAAAAATGAAAAACACTGATATCAAGATGAAAAAAAGTGTTGGCATTATTGGGCTTGATTGACTCGTCAATCAAGCCAATCGAATATGATTTTTCAAGATGTGCTATCATCATCCGATCCAATCCAATCCAATCCAGAACACCAAACACACAAAAGCTACCGCTCTTCAAGCATAGATTTTTTGGTAACCAAAACCAGTGTAAAACCTATGAAACTATGAATCAGTGAATAGCGTGCTTGAAAGCCATGACAATGATGATGATGATGATGATGATAATAGTGTTAAATGGATACATTGCGTGTCTCTTACCGAACTAACCAAACCAAATCAACCAACCATCTTCATCAATGTCGAATTGGTGACAACACCTTCTCTCTCTCTCTCTCTCTCCATATCTATTTATCTATCTTTTTTCTTAATGATATGGATATAGAATTATGATTGGTTAATGAATGATGACCATTATTCATTAAGTTTGACCATCCGATTATTATTATTAAGTTACGGTGTCTTCTTCAGTTTGTTGCTTCCATTATTAATATTCTTTTTTTCTTCTTCTTCTTCTGATCATTTGACTGGTTCGAATGACAATTCTCTTCTTTTTTAATAATTCATTACTATGATGGCTCATCATAACCACCACCGAAAATAAAAAATTCGAATATCAAATCAAACAAAATCCAAAAAAATGAATAAGGGAAACCCCATTTACATAATGATAGGTGTTGGTTTATGCATATATGGCACACACGCACAAACAACGACAAACAAACAACAAACGACAAACAAACAAACAACACACTGCCAATATGACAGTCGAAATTCAAATTTTTTTTTTTTGTCAATTGGGTCATTTGATAATCATAACTCCCAAAATAAGAATAATATAAAAAAAAACATTCAAATTGGATTGGACAACAAACAAACAAACGAGTTTTTGCATTTATCATTCGTTTTTTACTTTTTTTTTGGTTACCAATTTCCAATTGATTGGGCCTATGGCTATTTTGCTTGCTTGCTTCTCTCTTAATCCAATCAATCAGGCAAATTGTGTCCACCACCATCACCATCAACAATCCATAATAATAAATGAGTTTAGGTCAGATGGTGCCCTTTTCTTTCTTTTTTCGTTTTTTTTCCTATAGATCCGATTACGATCGATGGTCGTTTTTTTTCTTCTTTTGGTTGTTTGGGCGCGACATTCAGTTAGGTTTTCATTTTTGATCGTGTGTGTACGCTAATGTGGGGAACATAATTAAATAAAGCCGCCTTTTCTCCCTTCAAAGTCTATACGTGTTTATTAATGTTATTATTATGATCCTTTTCTCATTGCTCCAAGTATCTCTATCTCTCATTGTCTGTGTGTGTGCGTGCCTATCAAAAGTCGACTTTTCTGGTCGACGAATAATAATAATAAAGTCGCTGGTGCCAACCCATCATTCCATTTCTCTATCTCAATGAGAGAATTTATTCTATATTTTCCAAATGGAATTGGACCCGAAAAAAAAAATTTAAGCCGTTCTTTTTTTTCTTTTTGGTATTTGCCTTGTCAGTAATCAAATACATATCATTGGGTCACACATGCTAGGTCATCATTCTTTTTTTTGAGCTGGGCGTGCTTACCATGTAATACGGATTATAATAATAATAAATGGCAGGTTGTAATTAACGTGTTCGATTTGGTTGGGCATCATCATCTTCCTCTCTTTTTGATGGTCGATATTCATTCAATGTTCATTCTTTGTGAATAGAGCAAAAAAGAGAGAATTGAGATGTGTTGTAATGGTAATCTGCATTTATAATAATAGTTTCTTTTTTTCTTTTTTTTGCTGATATGGCACAAAAAAAATTATTAAATTAGATTTGTTCCGATTGGCAACCAACCAACCAACCGCCAACAACGACGATGAATTCATTTTTGATTCATTGGAGATTATTATTGCTGTTGCTGTTTAATGAATATAAAATTAGAGAAGGAAAAAAAAGTCATGCAAAAATCGAGAGAAGGAAGAGATGGAAAAAAGCATTAATTACAATAATTATATAAATGAAACAAGAACCAGAAGCGTGTGTCTTTCTTCCTTTTTTCTCTTTCTCTATCGACATAATGATGATGGTGGTGGTGGTGGTGGAACAATGTTATCACACACAAACACACAGAGTACCAAAATTCAAATTTAACACTTTGTCACACACAAACAAAGAAAGAAAAAAAATATTCCAAAATGTCAGGTGCTCCGAGATATGAATATTCTGACAAATCTCAGAAATTTTTTTGTTTTGTTTTTTGAAATTGAACAAGTTAATCAGAATAATTTATTTTTGTTTTGCATTTTAGCCTTGTTGTCATCCATATCGGCCTTTCATTGGTTTTGGTTATTGTTGATCATCATCATTATCTTCAATGTCACCATATCTGAATCATCTGCATCATCCATAAGTAATAATAATGGTGGTGGTGGTGGTGATCTAGCTTCATCCAGCACAAATTCTCAACAACAACGTAATGGTCCACGTTTTTTAATCGAACCGCCTATTCGTGTTCATTTTCTTAATGAAACTGGTGCTGTGATTCAATGTAAAATTACTGGACAACAACCACTTCGTATTTGGTGGTCATTATCCGATGGTACAATCGTTACAGATATTAATGGTTTACGTACAATCAGGCCAAATGGTGATCTTGTTTTATCACCATTTTCATCAACATTATTTCGACAAGATGTCCATTCAGCAGTAAGTTTTAACTAAATAAAATAAAAATTTAAATAATGATTATGTCATCATCATCATTTAACACTGTTCAATTCATTCCATTCCAAAAACAAAACCAAAAAAAAAACAGATCTATCGATGTATGGCAACCAATTCGATTGGTACAATTCGTAGTCGAGATTGTGAAATTCGTGCTGGTAAGTGTCTTTTATTGTTGAATAGAATTGCTTGTTATTAACACTCACAAACACAAAAATCAATTAGAATCGACGATGCATTTTCTTTTATTCGATTTGATTTACGCCCTAATCACGTTATATGCAAATTAGATCAGTTAACACTCACAGTTTCCCAAAAAAAAACTAAATGATGTTTTTTTGTTTGCCAAGTTCAACACCTGATTTTTGGTGATGATGATATACGATATAAAGATATAGAGATAGAGGTGGAATGTTGTTGATGGATCTGATCTGATCTGATAACTAACAGTGTTTAGTAGCCAACATAATAAACCATTAGAATAAAAAAAAACCATTAGCATCATCATTTGCTCATTTGGTCCATCATTATTGATGATGATGAAAAAAAAATACTGCCCATTTCCATTATGATGATAACCCGCGACTAACAAAAATGATCCTGCATTGCTTGTGCATCTGTGTGTTTTGTTTGATCGAATCAATAAAATGATTGACTTTTTTTTTATTTGATCATCATCAAAAAAAAATATATATAGTGATCCCACAACCATATAATGTCCAAGTTTATGGTGAATATGCAATCAAAGGAAATACGGGTCATCTAAAATGTCAAATACCAGCATTTGTACGAGAATATGTTCATGTTATTGCATGGTTAAAAGAAGATACAATTCTGGCTACACATCTTTCGCCCAAAGGTATGTTAATAATGTTTTTTCAACTTATAGCGGCGCGCATATAAAGTACCATCATTGATGAACAGCCGAAAAAAATGTGTTTGCGTTTGAGCGGCCAGCATGTTTTGTGAGTGATTTTTGTGTTTGTCTGTGTTTGGTGCTTTTGATCGATATTTGCTTTTTGGCAACTTAAAAAAATGGATCGACGACAAACACGATCATCATCGGGTATCAAAATGAAACAAGGAAGAAATAAAAAGAAAAAAATTGAACTTTGTTTCGATGAATTTGATCGTCAACAATATTTAACCGGTGTACATGGACGTAAAAAACAACGTAAACAACGTGCTAAAGAACAATTAGATCGTGATTTAAAAATTGAATTAAAACGTTTAAAAGAAAAGAAAAAAAAAGAATTGTCAGATAGGATGGAAGAAATGCGTCAAGCAACTGCTCCTACTGTTGATGATGATGATGAGGATAATGATGGTGATGGTAATGGCGATGGTCAATCATCCACTCAAGATAAATCGAATACCATCAAATACGAACTGGATGAACAAACGGTCGAAATAAAAGCCATCGATCTGGTAGCCATTCCATCTAATATTTCTTCCAATATTGAAACAGTCGCTGTTGTTGGTGGTGGTGGTGGTGGAAAAGAAACGAAGCATAAGAAAATTCATAAACGTCATAGAAAATTGCGTTGAATTGCATCCATACAGTGTGATGTGAACCCATCAATTCGTATTGTGTATGGTGATGGTGATCATCATCATCATTCAGAATGTCAACTAACCAGAATATAAACCTCGATATCATTCGAATTGGAAATGATTTATGCTCAGTATATACTGTCCATTGTTAATGTAGAACTTTGGTGGTCTTCTTCTCTCTCTCTCTCTCTCCCACTCAGTAATTGATAGAATTCGATTTCATCATCAACATTGCTGCTATGGTTGTTGAGAGGTATTATTCTTCTTCATCTTTTTATTCTTTGATGGATCATCCCTTCTCTCTCTCTCTCTCACTCTCTTTTTCTATGGAACCGGCCATTATCATGACAATGGATGGTTTTTAGTTTTGGGCAAACTTGATATACATTGCCACATCCATAATGCTATACACACATTTGTTACGGCTCACTGCCTGTATTTGTCGAATGACAAAACGAAAAAAAAACTTTTTGTTGTTGGCAACAATGTTTCGACCATGTTTAAAACCTACTGTAATATAAAAAGATGTGAATATAAATAAACAGCGTTTATCAAATTGGTCATATCATCAATTTGATGATGAAAAACATTATTATTTCTAATCCAAAGAATCAAATAAATAAATAAATAAATAAAAGTTTAGAATCGCTGTTTGTATCATTGTTTGGGTGATGTGAAAGAAGAAAAGAAAAGGTCCACCATGCAACAATTCTACATTCAGAATTGATTAACTTATGATTTCTCCCAGAAATGAAAAAAAAAAGATGTGCCCAGTCGATTACCAAACGACCATCATCATCATGCTGATATGAATCTCATTCATTCATTTTAATCGAATCTCATTACCGATTTAGTCGAAATAGTTAGTTCGCGCACAAACTAACTTCCAAAAAAAAAAACTATTTTCACTGTTTATATAACGATGGTAATCGATTTGATTGTTATCATCATCCGTTTGTCCAAAAATAGTTGAATGAATAAAACTTAATTTCCGTATTTTCCAACAAAAAAAAAAGAAAAGAAAAAAGTTTTCCATTTAAACTTCCAATGATGATGATGATAACTCAAATGCTCGAATCACATAGAGGTTATCATCATATAGGCAAGTTGGATATGATATGATATTCTTCATCATTTTGATGCCTGATGCCTGATGATGGTTTGACCGGATGGCTACTCAATTAAACAAATTGATTGAGAAAATGGCCATTTTTTTTTTTTGGTTGAAAATGAAGAATCCAAGTCCATTAATGTTTGAATGTTCAACTGGCCATGTTCAATTTTTGTGTCTTTTTTACTATGCAGCCAATGGCCATACTAATTGAATTTGTTTGTTTTGTAACGTTTTTTCGTTTTTGTTTTGTTGAAACTAGATTCACGTTATGTTATACTAGATAATGGTGATTTACTAATCAGAAATTCAAGTCGATCAGATAATGGTTATTATCGTTGCCAAACACGACATGAACTTTCACAGGAAACTGTATTAAGTTCAATTGAAGGACATTTTATTGTAAATGGTAAGTTGTTTCATTGCATTCGTTTTTTTTTTTTTTTTGAGTTTCAAATAACCTAACCATCATATTTTGGGGATGTTAATCATTATATAAAAAAAAATA